CAAGGGCTTAGCATGCTCAAGTTGGATTGGGGCTAAATGTGTGGTTCTCATTTTATGACCTTGAAAAAAGAAGACAGTGAGATTCCTCCTTGTCCTGCCCTTGGCAGGAGTGGGGAGAAAAGATACCCCCCAAAAAAAAAAATTTTTTTTTAAAGCTGAGATACAAAGGTTTGGCCACAAATAGCTGAGCCAGAGGATATCTCTTCAGTGAGGGAGGCTATAGTTCAGACAGCGGGATCAAGGTGAAGACTAAATACCATTTTGTGCATAATTCCTGCCCACTAAAAAAAAAAGAAAAGAAAAGAAGAAGGAATCAAATGTTTCTCATTACAGAGCCTGTCCGAATGCGCAACCCTTTCAACTGAGTTCCTCAGGCACTTTCTGGCAAGATTCTAAATTCCTATCATCCAACCTAACATGGAGCAGGTAAAGTTTCTTTTGAAAAGAAATCCGGGCCAGAGTAATTCTAGCTAGGGAAGCTGATGCAGGAAATCGACAGTGAGCTTTAACCCAGACCACAGTTCAATGAAATAAACCCCAGTCTGCACAGGAGTCAAGACATAAGCACTTGGGGGGAAAACACAGTTGTCAGTGAGTGAGGTTCACCCACCAGAAGGTTCATTCCATGTGGATTTCAGTGACTGTGAGAGAGAGAGAACAAATCACTCTTGGATATTTACATTTGATTTGTATCAGCTATCTCTTCGAGCAAGCTTCTTCTCCGCCCTCTGCTTCTGTCTCTCCTTCCTGGCTCAGGGAGACAGACTCTCTTCGAAGGAAAAGCAAGCTGTCTTTCTAGCTCTGTGCTGCGGTCTGTAGGGCGAACCAGGAGATCTTCGAGATCCATGTCTCTTGTCCCTCAATCTTTGCCTTTGGTTTGTGTTCCTTCCTCCTTGCCCAAAAAGCAGCCACCTCTCCCAGGGAAGTTGCAATCATCCCCTCAAGCACTTCCTCCAGTACATGGCAAACCCGGTCCTTCTTCAGAAAAAGCATGAAGCTGGCCCTCTTTACAGACAGGCCATTTTTTTTGGGGGGGGAGAGGTTTTTGTTATAGGGTATTGTGTTCACCAGAAAGACAGAGAGAGACAGAGAGACAGAAAGCAAGAAATCACCCCCCCAAAGAGGATGGCCATGCTGCAGTCCCTTCTCCTCCATTCTCCTCTTGGGATCTTGGGCACGCATGCACACACACCCGGCGTGAGTTTAAGCCACCAGGTCCGGGACTTGAACTGTAGTCGACTACCTGGGAGTCCAGCAACATAGCCATTATACCAACTTTTGGTCCCCAGACAGGCCATTTTTAATGAACTCTTGCTGATGTGCACCCATTCAAGAGAACGAAGTGAGCACGGTGGAGCTGAGACCCACGAAGGCCAACTCTCCAGACTATGTCCATCTCTGGTGTGCACGCCCGCACAGCACGTAACAAAGCCACTCTCTCACGCACTGCCTTCTCCTGGAAGAATTCACAGAATAACTGGCCTGTCCCTCCGAGAACAAAGACGAAGGCAGGGAGAAGCTTTCACTTTTCACTTCAATGTTTCTGTCCTGCTTGAGTTCTTTCAGTGGTGCACATTATTAGCATTCTTTCAAAAAAGCAGAGAGTTGTGCGAGTGCATGTATGTCTCTCTTTGTTTCCTTTGGGGGGAGTACATCTCTATACTTTAAAAAACACAACTTTATTCTTAAATGGAAAAATAAAAGGTAGGTGCTAGTGCAAAGACCAGCTGCCTTCAGGGAAGGATCCTTGCTCAAGTTATTCTACTCAACATGGTACTGTTATTTTATTACAACTCCCCAGTACCTCCACAGAGCCACATGCACAGAGAACAAAAATGCAATAGTCCAATGGAAACTTTTGAAAGGACTTTAAATACTAGGGCCCCCATCAGCCTTAGAAATGACTCCCTAACCTCTGCTCACAGTTAAATGCATCTCCAGAGAGGTGGGGCTACGCCTGTCTTCTCTCAGGCCAGGCCACTGTGAGTCTTACTTCACTGAAGGATGCATTTCACAGACAGGAATGTGCAGGCTCAGAGAGGTCGCAGTGTTCTGTCGCACACAGTAGAGCAGGGATTTAAGCCAAATTTGCTGAGACTCTTCAAGGCTTTCAACTTCAACAGAGGTGTGTCCCTCTGTCTGTGACATGAAATGCCAAAACCTACTGACACTATGACTGAGAGCTGCCTGGAAAGACCCACCCCAGAGCCATGGGACTCCAAAACACTCATGGGGCAGATCTGGAAAACAGTTCCCTCTGCAGGAACTGGGGCCAGCAGGTGGCACGGTAGTTAAGACGCTAGATTTCCACATAGCGGACCACAGTTCTAGTCTTGGACCCAGCAGCTTGAAAAACATGCCAAGTCATGTGTGCACACATGCCCAAAGTCCCAAGAGGAAAATTGAGGAGAAGAGATTGCAGCGTGGCCACTCCTCCTGTGGGGTGATTTCTCACTTTCTCTCTCTGTCTCTTTGAGTCTCTCTCTGGCAAGCACACTCGCCCTATGGCAAAAACCTTTAAAATTTTTTTAAATAAATAAATAAAATGCAGACACCTTGTAACCTCCTGGGTTGTGGTCCCCAATTCTTCCCCTAGCCCTAAGCAGACCAAACACAGAAATGAGAAGTGGCAGGGAAAAGGGGATGGTTACAGCTCAAAAGTAAAGTGTTACGTAGATTCATCTTATTTCTTCAGGAAGGAGTAAGGTGCTTGTTCCTGTCCTAAGCGAGCCAGGATGGGTGCATGAAAATCCCAACCACAATGTCATGACTGAGCTTGCCAAAGCTCTTCTGAGCACCTGGAGACAGGCTGAGAGGAAGGAAACTTGGGAACAGGCTTCTTTTCCCTACTTTATCCCTGTTATCACGATGACCGGTTTCTCTGCAGGATACAATGGAAGGCTGAGACCTCAATCCCAAAGTTCAAGTCCCACCCCTGGCTCTCCGAAGAGATGGTGTCACCCAGTTTCCAAACGCAAGCCCTGTATTTGTAAGCATGCTATATGGTATGGAGACTATAAACCAAATCACTAGCCCTCAGTATTCCTGTCTATAAACATAGGGCTTTTTTAAGATAAAAGCTTTTGGAAACCTGAGGATAAAAAATGAAGTCTCAGTATGAAGAAAAGCAGGAACTCTTTCATAACTGACACCATCAACAGTTTCAGGACAAAGAGATGCAATGAGAACAGCTTCACAGCGGTTCCTGCCGGGGTGCACCCAGAGAGGACACCAGCAAACAGCTCCACCTCCAAACCAAACCTCAACTCACACATCTCTTCCATGAGTTTCAGAAAGCCAAGCACAGGGAGGAAAAAGAAAACAATCGTCCAGGCAATTCTTCGTAGTTGAAAACCTACACTTTCTGGTGGCCTGCGATCATTTTCTTCATCTTTCCGATGGTAGAAATGTCCCGGAAAGGGCCTGCATGGCGTGGCCTGCCTTGTGCTCGCTTTATTCTATTAAGAATTAACCTCATTTCAGAACACCTTCTGCATATTTTCTCCCCACTTCAGTGCCCTGGGGTTTCCTGGGACCCTAATAATCAAGGCCATTCCTGCATGGGTGGAAGAGCAGGGAGCTGCCAGGGGAATCAGGGGTACCCAGCCTACAGGGACATGCCCCTCCTGTTCTGCTTTCTCTTCCACTCCCTGCCTGGCCTGGGCTGCCACTGCAGCCAGGAGTAACACCCCCCGCCAAAAAAAATGACCTCTGATAGCATTCTTCTGGAAACAGCCCCGGAGTAGCTTCAGTGTCAGTGCACTGCCAGCGGCACTCACAGACGCTCACCCACAGCAGGCAGGTTCAGACACTTTCCTTTATTCAGAAGCCGCCTCAGTGAACAGAGCATGCGGGGCTCCCACCCTTGACATTTTTATGACTACACGTTTGCATTATGTCCGAGGTCCCACCGCCAGGGTACCTGAACTTGGAAGCCATTACCAACTCCGGCTTCTGGCTTCATAGGACCCTTTTAGGGTTTTTCAAACCCAGGGCTTCCCATATGTGCCAAGAAGTAGTTTGTGATTTAAATGAATGCAGGGGCTGACCCCAGACCAACAGAAAGGATAGGCCAGAGTTGGGGAGGGCACCACCACTTCCAGGACACCCAGGGCCTCAGAGTCCCTACTCCCAGCCCAGTCTCCTCTGGGGTGGGTCATTTCAGAAGCAAAGAGAAGCCCAGCCCCCTGGGTATTGGGGAAACAGACTTCCCGGTAATGGACAACGCGCACAGGGTAGGTGGCCATGCTGGAAGCCTGGCTCAGATCAATACCACAAACACACTGTGGCTGTGGAGGGGGCTGACTGCGCTCCCTAGGACAGAGCCTCGTCCTTGCAAATGAGAGCTGGGGGCTCAGAGTGATTGGAGCTGTAGAGTGGAGGAAGGGGGAGACAGAGAAGAGACTGTCACCTGTCACCGATGGTCTGGAGCTTAACTCAGAGGATAGACCAGGAAAGGCCAGAAAGAGGAAGGACAGGGAAAGGAGCACAGCGAACTGAGAAAGAGAAGGAGGCTGGAAAGGCTCTGAGACAGGGACCGGTGGAGAGGGCCGAGGCAGGAGCGAGGAAGTCTAGGTTAGGAGGGAAGGCAGGCGGCAGGGAGGAACACGGACCACGTGGAAGGGGAGAGAGGAGGAATGGAAGGACACGGACAAGAGATGGGTGGAAAAGGAACTCTGAGGCCACGTCGGGACAAAGATCCTGATGAGGGTGCGACAGCCTAAAATCGAAGTTCAGAAAAGCCTAAAACCCTGTCGATAAAGGAAGGGTGGCCGCCACGCCAGGGCAGGCCAAGGCCGGGGGCTGACCAGGCGTGGCCCAGGCGGCGGCTCCAGAGTCCTCTCCGCGTGTCCTCGGGTCCTGCCCACGCCACTCGCCGGGGTTGCAGGGCTGAGCCAGGCGCCCCGTCTGCGCGAGGGTGCGTCGTTTCCTCCCGGCTGGGCTGGGCTGGGCTGGGCTGGGCTGCGCTGGGCTGGGCTCGGCTCTGGGAAGAGCTGCCCCTAGGAGGTCGAGGCGGGGATGGGCAGTCCGTGCAAGCTACTGAGGGCATCCGAGGCCTTGCCTCCGGGGCTGGGCGGCTTCCGGTCCGCCACTGTGGGAGGAAGCACAGGGGCGTGGGGTCACTGTCTAGCGCCGCGGAGGGCGACCCGGGGGCCCAGGGCGCGCGGGTGGAGCGCGGCTGCAGCGCGGGGATCGGGGATGAACGCCGGCTTTGCGCGCCGCACCCTTGCGGATTCGGAGCGAAGAAGCAGAGACTGAGTTCTCCAAGAACCCCATGCGCCCTGGGTGCCCACCCTCCCCTCGTCCCTTTAGGAGGGCCTTAGCCCCTGGGTCTTTCAAAAAAATCCCTAAGGTCATTTTGCCAACACTCCTAGACCGCTGACCTGTTCGATCCGCTTTGCCCCGTAACCCTTTCACCACCCGGTAAAGAGATGGTGGCACGGAGGGCAGGGAGGTTGACCGACCTGAGGGACACTTCCGCACAGGGAGAGTGGGCGGCGATCTGCTTGGCGTTCCTCCGAATCCGGCCCCCCACCCCAAACCTATCGGCCCGCACCGGCGCTAGAGCTGCGCGACACCGGGGCCGGGGCAGTCGTGGTGGGCAGGGGGATATCGTGGGGGACACGGGCCCCCGAAGGTTTCCCCCAGAGCGTCCTGGATTCCTCTGACTTAGGAGGCGGTGCCGCTTGCAGGAAGCGGCAGGCTTCGTTGTGCCCGCGAGGTCTGGATCCCTATGCGCTCACCCCAGAGCGCACAGCATGACCGGGCCCACCCGCCTCGAGATTAGGTGGCAGCAGCGTTGCTCTATTATTTCGGGGTTTGGGAAGGGACCCAAGTTTTGCTACTGAAAGCCAGACAGTGACGCCAGGGTTGCGCAGCCATGTCTACCTGGCTCAGCCCGGCGGCTCAGCCCCTCCTGCACCTGGAGGCACAAGCTTGTTTATACCTAACGGGGCCGGTTTTCAGTTTTCTTTTCTAATCCAACAAGTCCTCCTTCAAAGGGGAGCTAGGAGCGTTAGTATTAAGTCGAACCGTGGATATTTTTTTCTGGGGCAATAACCCTTTTCCAATCCAGGTAACTTGCTGCGGACTCAAACACCTCTGAGCAATGAACACATGCGCACGCGCGCACACACACACACACACACACACACACACTAAACATCTGGCTTTGTAGAGGTTTTGAAGGGGTCTAAACATCTTTCCAGGACAGAGTGACCCCTTGGACCTTCCTGGCCTGTCTGCTCTCTTCCCCAAACAGTTGCGGCTACTGAGACAACAAAGCGTGCAGACCTTTGCTTTGCACCCTGTGAGCACAGTCCAAGGTGAGGGCCTGTTTATAAAACATCTGAGGAGGTGGAGCTTTCTCAGCCATGGGCCGGTTACCTTAGAGACAAGCGAGAAAATGAATTTGTGAAAAATAAACACCATGGAGCCTGGAAATGGATTTCACCCCATTTTACAGGGAGAAATCCTGTGTCTCTACCTCTGTCCATGCCAGTCTTTCCTCCCTTCCATCCTCTTCCATTTGATCCCAGGCAACCTGCATAGGTATTTTTAGGAAGCCCAAAGGTCTCAGCTGAGATAGGTGGGCTCGGTTCATCTAAAGGGCCAAGAATGAAGACAGGTGTTTTAAAACACTGGGACTGTGGTCTTAGGGTGTCCTGGGACTGCCATCAGGGAAGGCATGGGTCTGGGAAGGGGATCCCAAGAACTGGGTCAAACAAAGCTAGGGTTAGCAGAGGGGTGCCTGGGCACAGAACACCAGCACTGTAATGCCCGTTGATAAAGTTCTCTTTTAGGACCCTCCCAGCATTCATCCCTTAGCAGCGATAACTGGAACGAAGCTGAGTTTTCTTTAGCAAATTAAAACAACACGTTTTCTCTGTGTGCATGCAATAGCATATTGATTTGATTGCCATAGCTTTAGTCTTTCCAAAACCCCACTTGCAGACAATTCAAAACCCGAGGTTCTGATGGTTTCTGAAAACAAGTTGTAAATTTCAGGGAATGTCTGATGGGGTCTGTCACCAGGGGGAGGACAGGGAGAGCCTTGTCCTGGCTAGGAATAAATATTGGGATGGAGGTCCAGATTCTCCCCATATGACATGAAGATGAAGTGGAACTTGTCTATTTTCCTCTCATTTCGCAAGGATTAAAGAGGAGGAAAATGTAACCACACATTCTTGCCTACATAACAGAGAACCCAGACTCATTACCTTTTAGCAAGACAAAATTAACATGTTGGGATGTGTAATTGGACATTTGATTAGGTTTCCCTCAGGGTAACCATTAGGATGTTCATTTGCACCTAGTCTGGAGGGCACTTTGATGTGTAGTGTTATGTGTGCTTTGTGTGTGTGCTTTTTACTGAGCAGTCACGGCATCAGTAAAGAATTTTTTTCTTACAGAAAAATTCAGTAATTGTTATTCCCACTATTTCTATGAATTGTACATCTGGTGACAGTAAGTTGTGTAAAAGGATAGGTTTCTGTGCACATATTAATTTCTAAAGAAATGATTAGAAAATAAAAGGCAGTTTCTTTTGTCTTCTCAAAATCCAATATGGGGGGGGGAGGAGGGTATTTGAAGTCAGCTGACAAGAAGTAAAAACTCTCTAGCCCAAGGACGCATGTAATTCTCATGCTGTGAAAACGGCAAGTTAGTAACTTATGATTTGTAGGATGCTGTTCAAACACAAGCTCCTGAGGGCCTGCTTGAAAGCATCCCTAAAGATGTCCTGAGCTACTCCCTGAACCTTTCCCTTAACCTGTAAAGAACTGGGAGATCACAAAATTAAATGATTTGGTAACTAAGTAGCTAATTATGGCTGTGGATTTTGAAACCGGGCAGGGCAGCTATTTCATAATAGGAAGTGGATACAATGGTAAGTGGGCCGTGAATAACCATGCAATGGCTCTGTGTTTCTGAAGAGGAAAGTATCTTCGAAAGAAAGAAAGAAAGAAAGAAAGAAAGAAAGAAAGAAAGAAAGAAAGAAAGAAAGAAAGAAAGAAAGAGCGAGAAAGAAGAAAGAGAAAGAGAGAAAGAAAGGAGACGAGAAGAAAGGAAAGGAAAGGAAAGGAAAAAGGAAAAGAAAAAGAAAAAGAAATTTAAAAAATCCATTACTGATGAATCTAAACATTGACATCACCCATCCCTGAATTAACTAGAGCTAGTTTAGAATCCCGAACTGCTTGTTTAATCTGTGGGTTGTTATCTTCACAGTCTGTTTCTCATGGAGAGCTTGAAATGCCTTCAGGACAAAGTGATTCTACTGGAAAATGACTGTCCTCCGGAGATAGTGGGTTCTTTTTCGAAGTCTCCCTTCTTAGGATCAACTCAGGGAAAACCCTTTAAGCTTATGGATAGACTTTTCCCATTTAAATGAACCTGCTTAATTAAGCCATGTGTATAGAGTATAAGGAAGTATCATAATAGGAAGTGGATACAATGGTAAGTGGGCCGTGAATAACCATGCAATGGCTCTGTGTTTCTGAAGAGGAAAGTATCTTCGAAAGAAAGAAAGAAAGAAAGAAAGAAAGAAAGAAAGAAAGAAAGAAAGAAAGAGCGAGAAAGAAGAAAGAGAAAGAGAGAAAGAAAGGAGACGAGAAGAAAGGAAAGGAAAGGAAAGGAAAAAGGAAAAGAAAAAGAAAAAGAAATTTAAAAAATCCATTACTGATGAATCTAAACATTGACATCACCCATCCCTGAATTAACTAGAGCTAGTTTAGAATCCCGAACTGCTTGTTTAATCTGTGGGTTGTTATCTTCACAGTCTGTTTCTCATGGAGAGCTTGAAATGCCTTCAGGACAAAGTGATTCTACTGGAAAATGACTGTCCTCCGGAGATAGTGGGTTCTTTTTCGAAGTCTCCCTTCTTAGGATCAACTCAGGGAAAACCCTTTAAGCTTATGGATAGACTTTTCCCATTTAAATGAACCTGCTTAATTAAGCCATGTGTATAGAGTATAAGGAAGTAAATTTCGTTCTGTTTTAATATCAACAGATAACTGTAGCAGTCCAGAAATCAGGTAGATTGGAAGCCAAAGATGAGGAATAGCAAAGTACTCATCTTAGGATCCTTTAGCTGTCCTGAAATGCGAAGCCTAAAGGAGTTCTAATTACTGATTTTAAAATTTTCCTTGACTTGGATTTGCCTATAAATGAAGTGATAGTATCCTACTATTTACATTTAAAGCTTAAAAGAGTTCCGATTCTCATTGTTGTAAATTTGCTTTACTTGGATAATTAGGTAGGTGGGCATCAGTCTATTCTGGGATGTTGCTGTTCTGGGAAAGGTGGACAAAGAAAAAACATTATATTTCCCCTCTTCCCCTTCACTGTTATGCGTACCTTCTGCATGGCCCTCCCCCCATAGATTGGCCATCGTGCCTCACCAGCCTACTCAGAAGTGACACTTTCTGCAGGGACAGCACTGAGAAGGTCTCTTCTGTCCGGGCCTGCCCAACACCAGCAGCCACCTGCACCACCGGCCCCTCCCCTCTGCAGGTGTGAGGCTGGGCAGCTGGTAAAGGTCTTTTTGTAATCAGAAACATCCCTCTGTCCCTACAGTCCCAAGGTTTGTGCCCTGCCCCCTTCCAGGCTGGGACTGGGACCCCCTGGGTGAGTCCTCATTTTCCCAGGATAATTGAAGTTGCAAATTTATGGAGATCAGAACGTAAACACAAGTGGGTTTGCAAGGAGCAAATCCAGCCTCGCCTTTTTGGCTATGGAGGAAATAGAGGATGAGGGCCAGTGAGCTTTCCCTGAGTTACAGGGAAAACTAGAACCCAGAGGACTTTGAGAAGTTGCCCCTCACTAAACTGAAGATCAGTTAAAGGCCTCTGATCGGTTAGTCAGCTTATCAGGGAGTAGATTTAAGAAAGAGGAAGACCAGAAGGTCATGGAGAAGGAGGAAGATGCAAAGGAGGACGGACTCCCAGCCATGTTCCCAAGCAAAGAACACTGAACTACACAGAACTGAAAACAGCCTGCACTTGGGCCCACAAGGCAGGGCTGATCTCTCCTTTCCCACTGACACTATTAAGAAAAAACTCCAGAGGGGGCCAAGTCCCGTGTTTTGTTTTGTTTTAATAAAATTAAAAGTAACCTGGAAGAAAACAGATGGGCAGTGACCAGAAAGGATCCTGGGTTGGAGGTTAGGGGCCACTGGCCAGTCCAACCCCACCTGTAGGGTTCAAGTGGCCAAGACACATCTGCCACAGAAAAGCAAAGCTCCACAGACCACAGAAAGGGATCTGGAGGGACCTTCTAGACCCTTCTACGGGCGGAGAAATTGAGTCTCAGAAAGACTCACCAATTTGGCTAAGGGTGTAAAAATCAGATCCAAAACCAGGAGTCCTATTTGTCAGCTTAATTCTCAAATAGGGAGCAGGGAGCAGGGAGCCGTCCTGGGGCCTCTCTCCACCTCGGCATACCTTTCCGGGGACACCCGTCAGAATTCAATCTGCTTCAAGATACAGGGGCTTCATGTTCAACCCAAAAGAAGTGTATGCCAAGCACCCACGCTTCTCTCTCTCTCTCTCCTCCCGGCCCCCCCCCCCCCCGCCCCCCCCCCCCGTTCCTTTTCCGTGCCCACACCATCTCCCTGCACCTTTCCTAAACCTTCCAAGGATCTCTTTCCCCGCTGGCACCCCTCACCTTCTCGGCTGGGATGCTTGAAGGTCATGGCTGCAGAGAGCTCCCCGCCGTGCACGGTGACGCTGGCCCCGGGAGGCGCCAGCGGGGAACCCTGCGCTGGCGGCCACGGCGGGGCCGGAACCCGGCGCGGGCGCCCACGGCGGGCCGGGGGCGAGGTAGCCGCCGCCCGGCGCGCTGTACACGCCGTGCTGGTTGGAGGCCGGGTAGGCGCAGGCCGGGAGGAAGCCGCCCACCGCGGAGAGGCCAGAGGCCGTCTGGAGGATGGAGAGGGCAGTCAGTCAGCGGCAGATAGTCCCACGCCTTCCTTTCTGCAGCGAGGGAAGGTAACCCCGAGGCCTGGCTCCTTCCCCAGCAAGGGCTCTAACAAAGCGATTCCTGAACGTTCACTCCTGTTGTTATTATAATAATAAAAGGTGAGCCGGTCGTGGAAGATGCTACTGGAATTTAGAAAGGAAGTTCTTGGTCATTTGTCGGGGTTCCAGCTTTTTTAGCAAAGGGATCTTGGCAAGAAGCAAAGCAATCCCTGGGAAAGCCAGCGTCCCCGACTTGTGCGTTTGAGGAAAGGACGGAATGTCCCCGTCAAACATGTTCGCTGGCGGGTGGCGGGCCAGGATCCATCTATCTGGGACAGTTTTCTTTCTTTCTCCCCCGCCCTTCTGCTCCCCTAGTTAACATGGCCCCCCTGGTGTGCCTCCCAGTTACCTGAGTGTATTTAATATCAGCCTCCAGGGCAGGTTTCTCGAGGCCGTTCACCGCGGGCGCAGCGGGGAAGGCGGTGCGGTTCACCCCGGCCCAGTCTTCCACCTTCGGGGAGTAGGCGGCGCCGTCGCTCCCGGCCAGGGCCCCTGTGGGGGACACAGGACAGACAGAAGGCGCATCTGAGTCCGGGCTGGGCACACGTGCGGCCCTCCCGCCTAGCGTTTACACAAGCGCCTACGATCACTCAGCTGGTATTACGGGGCGCGGCCAGGGGTCCCCCAAAATCCTGGAGATGGTCAAACGCCCAGAGAGTAATCCGAGGTGGAGAAGCGGTGGGGCAGGGTTTCGCTTTCACTCCGAGCAGGACGAAGGAAAGAAGGTGGCCTGGCCTGCTTCTCGCTCCTCCCAACCCGCCTCCCGCAAAACGGGAGGTCTCTTTTGAGAAGTGGGTGCTTGGGGCAGGGACTGGGAGCACCGGGCCCAGGAGGCCGTCCACGGACCAGATGCGGCGTCTAGAGAGGTGTAAGTTAATATGCACAGCGAGCTCCGGAAAGGTGTATGAATTTCTCAACATCTCAACAAACATCTGGAGGACTTCTACCCTCAGGACTGCTGGAAACACCCTCTTGCTCCCTCTGTCCAGGGGGGTGCCAACCCCACAACCCGAGCTCGTCTCGGCACAGAGCGGCCCCTTGCGCCGGTGCGTGAGCGTAGAACCCGGGCAAAGGCCTGGCGGGGTCGCCTCCCACCAGCTACCACAGTCTTTCCTTGCGCGGCTTTGGCTCCCGCGGGGCGGCCGGGCCTGGGTTAGAGCCGCCAGGAGAAACAAAGCGTGAGCACGACTTCGAGGCCGCCCGCGGCCGCCGGGCTGAGCACGCAGTTTCCTTTCGCAGCCCTCCCTTTCCCTGGCTGCCGGGCATTTTGCTTGTTGTGCTCCTCCTGAGCCTGCAGCCTAAGAGTACCCATTTCTAGGGTAGCTGCTGGCGACAGGGGACAGTGTGAGGAGACTGAAGACCCTCCTGACCCAAACAAGTCTTTCCCCGCAGGGCACCAAAACTGCCCCAAATTTCCCGCAGATTCTCCTCCCAACCAGCAACTCTTTGTTGTGTTTTAATTGCATGAGAAAGGGACATCCTTGCAAGGGTGACTGTAGTTCAGGCACCGTCACCACCGCCCTGATTGCAGTTCTGGACCTGCAAGGCCACAGGACCTGCTGGAAATCAAGGCCACACAACAAAACCAACATCAAGCCCCCTTTCCCTTTTACTCAAGAAAGCCACTGTGCCTGGGAGGGTGACAGAACCCTTGGGAAATGATAAGGAATCCTGACAACGGAAGAGTCACAGAATCGCTCGAGCGGTTTGTTTGGCTTCGGGTAAGGTGATAGGGGTTCGCATACTATTTTTGCAAGAATGAAAAAGTGCAATTTCAGGCCTCTGAATTTGTGGTCGCGATTGCTCTTCCATTTGGGAAATATTTTCCACATTTGTCATAAAAAGTTCAAGATGTCTGAGGACTTTCACAGAAGGCCCAGGACCCCCAGCCCTCCGGGCCTGTTCCTAGACCCCTCCAGTACCAGCACCAGTCCTCAGAGGAGGGCGAGCGTGGCCCCTTACCGGCATGCCCACCCCTTCTTTTGCCCCGTAAAGGGAAGGTCACAGAAGGTGGCCACGACTGACCTGTTTGCTCCATAAACGTCCGGATGCCCAGGATGTTGCTGACCGAGTGTGCTGAGGGCCATGAACGTGGGATGCTGACGTGGCCCGCGGTGCCCGGGACCCCGGGGTGGCTGCCCATCTTGGCGCCGGTGGGCGACACGGGGCTGGGGTAGGGGTACTGGTAGATGTGATTGTAGGGCAGTGCTGGCTGCGGCGGCGGCTGCTTACCCGCCTCGTACGGCCCGGGCTGCGCCAGGCTGCCAATCTTGTTGCGCAGAATGCGGCTGATGGAGCTCACCGAGGGCACGTTGTACTTGTCGCAGACGCCGTCGGCCAGCAGCCGGTCGCGTATCTCCCAGGCGAAGATGCCAGGGTCTCCCTGTTTGTAGTCCCGTATGTGTTTGACCACGTTGGGGGTGGTGACCCGGGGTTTGCTGCCCCCGATGGCTCCAGGCAGGATGGAGCCGGTCTCGTTGTAGCGCGCCAGAATCTTGCTCACGCAGCCGTGGGATACGCGGAGCTGCCGGCTGATGTCACAGGGTCGGATGCCCAGCTGCGCCAGCTCCACGATGCGCAAGCGGATGGCGTTGGGCAGGGGGCGGCCGTTGACGAACACGCCGCCCAGCTGGTTCACCTCTCCGTATGTCTGCTCTGCGGACCGCCCGAGCGGAGTGAGCGGGAGGGGAGAAAACCAGCGCGTTAGCCAAGGTTGGCCAGGCAGGGCGAGGGACTGTACCGGGTACGTCTCCAAAGAACCCGCGGGCCCCAGGCAGCTCAGAGTCCGGAGGCAAGCTGCCTGGGTCCGGCTCTTACAGCGGACCTGGTCGTAGAGATCTCAGAGCCTGGCGCCGCGTTCTCTAGCCCACTTTTGTCACGTCTCCTTGGGCCACCCCCTTCCCTAGACTCGCCGAACTGCCCCCGAAGGACAAGCGGAGAAAGCGGCTCTTTCAGGACAAAGGACTGGGTCGCTCAGGAGAAGGACGAAAAAGAAGAGACGCGGGGACACAGTGCACCCCATTGGCCCACCCCCTC